CTTCACACACTGCCCAAAAAGGATGCTCGGAGCTTTCCATTTAATATGTACATGTAATATATCATTTTTCATTTTATTATAGTTTTACGAAACAGTGTAGACATTAAGATCTATGCTCTTACCATTGTACAATGCCAGGGTATACTGGTATTCATACGTTGCTTTGTTCTCACACAAGATGTTAAAAACTGCCATCACGGTGCCGATTCTTTTGCTGCTTTTGCCTCCCATCCGCCGCAAATCGGAGCTTAATTTTAGAACCATCTTTCTTGATGGCCTCTTTGACTTCGGGTATAGTGATTAAATATTCCAGAACATCGCAAACACTTCTACGGGCACCATCACCTTGCTTGGCCTGCATTAATTCAAAACCCCAAAAAAGTAATTAATAAGTATTTGACACAATCAGAAAAAATTGTCACAACATCATAAGAGACTAATCTCATACCCACCAAAGATTAAACATAGGCTTAGTTAAATATGGTTTAAAATTGTTTTCTTTGGCAAATGTGCTGACTGAATGTTTTTACTTTCAGCAAAGCTTTTTGCCCTCACTGAAAGTCAATGCTTTGCGATGCGATGCGCAAAAAAAAAAAAAAATGAGCAATTCAAGGCTTGGATTACAGCTAAAATAAAATTTGCCTTAAAATAACCAGAAGTCGGTATCTATTTGCAGTAAGCCCTGGTAAGTCCCTAAAGGTACTTAGCACCTGCCTACACTATGCATGTTCAATGAAGAGTTTATATTTCAGAAAAATAAAAAGTAAATTTTTCGACTGGCTTATAATATTTCAGCGCTATCACACAGATTGCTTATGACACTGAATAAACATTGTTAATGAAAAGATTTATCATCCGTTCTCGTTGAGCCATTAGACGCATGAGGTCTTAATAAAAAGATTGACCAATGTGAAACTAGGGGTGACGAATGGTGAATGCAACGTTTTTCTCTTAGATCGAGACTGTTTTCAACCTTTGATTTGCGATTTTGTCCCCAGCATGATCATGTAAGCTTAAAGATATGAGACTGCGAGACGTTCAGAACCGCCGAAAAAAATACATTGCGAGACTCGCAAAATTTGACCAAATTTTTGCGAGACCTTCAAAGACCATTCACCACCCCTAAAAACTTAGTGATAAAGAAAAATTCGTAATGATACGTACCTCAATCGGTTTGAATTCCACTGGTAAAATCTCTGTGGCATTTCGGAGGTACTCTCTGATTTTTTTCCTCTTCATAGACCGCGAAGACTTATCTACGACCCAATAGTTTTTTCGGCTAACGTTAAACTTCACAGCGTTCTTTACAGGGTCCACTGCTAGGCGACTTTGGGCAAGCTCATTTCTTAGAAGCTGGAGTTCCTGGCGAAGCTGAAAAACTTCTGCCCTTCTTTCTGCCAATTCCGTCGCCTGGTCACTGACGATTTCGTGCAAATGGTAAATGCGTTGGTCGTACGCCTCAAGAAGGGGCAAAGAGAGGACAGACTGCTCTACCTCGAAATGCCTTGGGCCACGTTTGTAGAGGACGTTTGCTTGCGGCTTGTCTACTTTGAACTTCGAAAACATTTTAAGACTTTAAACAACTTTAAACCGATCTTTTCCGATGACTATTTTCAGATAACTCTTTTCCAATGACGAGAGCGAAATGATTGTTGTCAATTGCAAGTGGCACGCGCGTCATTAGCATAATAAGGGCATTCATGAAAACAAGAGAACAATTGATGTCAACTGAGCGCGAATTTCAAAGACGCTTTCAAAGATGTTTCGGGACGGAAACAAAGTTTGTTTAATTGTATACATAGGCAATTCGCACAGTGATTCCCACAACAATCTGAATAAAAGTCTATATTAGAACCTTTCAAGGCTGCCCAGCCGCTTCTTCAAGCAAGCGCGCTTCTTCACGGAAAGAAAATAAGTCATCAATTAATGGTTTGTTGACGATCAAATTCGCGACAAAGCCCATAAGACAATACACAATACTATGAAAGCGTTTAAAAAGCTTTGAATACTTTCAAGGTCTTGATGCACTGAAAGGGGTTTTATTATGACAATAAACCGCTCTAACAGTAGATATTTCAAATATAATTGGTTATGACGCTTTTTAATTCTTCGCTTGAGACAGACAGCTTTCTCGCAACTTGTTTGGCGCGCATTACAACAGGCCAGCAAAAATACTTAAAAATACTTGTACCTTCGCTTCAGTTTCGATTTCTTTTACGATAGTTGTGTGGCATATTCCATTCGTATTTTAAGATACAAACTGTCGTCCTTTCTCTACCTCGAAATTCTGCGTTTATTTGCGGGAAAAAGGAGAGAACTTTACACAGCCGACAGCCCGCTCTCCATGTAACAAATTTACCCTTCCGTCCCCCGGCAAGTTTGCCGTTGCTCTAGATAACTTCTCCCTAAGCCCACCCCGAGAAAGAAAGATTTTGTCACATTCAGGTCATTAACGAAGTTTTTGAATCTCGCGCTCGGAAATCGGATACGCGTCGGTTCTTTCAAACCTTTGTTCTTATAACAAAAGAGCCTCAAAGCTGTCAACAATGACAATGCCCATAAAAGGATAAAAAAATCGTGCCATTGTTAGCAAAATCCCAACCCAACTTAATACAGGTCGATTGTACCTCAAAACATTATATTGAAAACTCCTTAGTTATCACCCGCTAAAATGGTATAGAATGCAAAAGGGTACAAGACGCCAACGATCACGAGCCTTCTGTATTCTTGAGTTGGTTTGTTTACAACACGATTGTGGTCATCCAAAATGTCCTTTTTCACTCCATGCTGAAAAATTTTAACTCAATCATTGACTATATTTCCAACTTTCTTTCATTTCTGTTTTGAAACAATCTTCCCATTCAGAACACAGTTTTAAACAGGAGCTTGAATGACATGCCTACAAATTAGTATCACACTGACTGGTGAGAAGAAGAGTTTACCGGCTTTCGAAGGACGTGAACTCATACATATAACCACAAACTGACCTGTATTGACTGTGATGTCTCTCTACGACCTTGATCTTGTTAATGGTCCATTGCCATCCCTTTCTGTTTCGCAATTGCCTGAAGGGTGATGAAAAAAAATAATCATATCGACAAAGAACAGCTTGCAAAAATCGTAACAATCAGAGTAACATGGTTTTAACCAACACAACCATCAAGTCTCATTCCGGTAGGAGACCCCAGCATAAAATTGACAGAAGTTGTCGATTGATGTCTATAAAAAAAATTTAACCCTTGACTCCTAAGAGTGGCAAGCATCTAATTTCTCCTCATAATATCACCCCTGAATCACTGAAACATTGAGGCCATGAGAGTGGAGGAAATGATCACTAACTCCGTAAAGAAGCTCTTGATTTTCAAGCAAATTCTCCTTGTCAGTACCAAAGGAAATGTATAAAGAACAGTATGGAGAATATGCATACTGATTTTAGGGTGTAAAGGGTTTAAAAATTTATCCGTCACAATTCTTTTAACTGAAATACATTTACCTTTCCAAGAAATGGTGAAATTCTTAGGATATTTCAGCTTTTCAAAGTTAATACAAGATGTATTGGGATAGACTCGATCAATACTGACCAGTTTAGACTCTTAACTCTTGGTTAATGAGACAAAGCCTCTCGTTTGCTATTCTATCACAAAACTATACGAAGCACCTCCCTCGGAAAAATGCTATTTATGTGAATCGTTAATCTGCACGTCAATATTACCTGCCTCTCCTGAAAATCCAAATTGAACCATTTCGTTTCATAGTACCTCAATGACATGACATGATCTGCAAATTCACGTGATAATCTCAAAGCTAAATCTTTTCACTAGAAAATAATTTAATGAAAGTGATGAAGCGCTCAGTTTGTGAACAAAACTTCAAGCGAAAGAACAGAGGGAGAGAAACACTTCAAATCATTCTTGTACAATAAGCTTTAGGTTGATCAAACACTCACAAACACATCGGTAACTTACATCGAAGGGTAAAAGAAAAAGGAAAAAAAGAAAAAACTTAACTGAGCTCAAAGAAAATTCAGAAGACTTCTCCGCTTGCCGTTGCCGGCTGCAACACGTGTCGAGAACGTTGTACACCAAAACCCTATGTTGGCGACCACTCGACATTTCAGCTTTCACCTTCAGGATTTAGTACCGTCCTATGCATTTAAGCCAAGGATTTATCCAGCAAAAATACTGCTATTTAAAGTAAGCAGCTTTAGACCAAACTGCCAAGTTTAGTTCTACGAGGCTCCACGTGCAATCATCCTGATACAGCCGAAGTGAATTCTAATAAGTCTAAACAAATCTGCAATTCAAATCACCGCGTGAGTCGCACAATCATTATTTTACTATGAAAGGATAGGGACGGTAGGAATGTTCTTTCTCCTGCACAAAAAACCTTTGGACAGGTATTTCTAATAAGAATAGTATAGACCTCGTTCATCGAAGCACGGGGAATAAAGGAGATTGACTTAAGCAACAGAGAAAGCAACAATGTACACGTCACGTGAAATTGCAAGGGCGACGCCCAAAATAATGGAGGAGCTAATGAGATGATCCATGCCATAGATAGGAAAGAGTGCTGATGCTCCAGCGGGAATTCAAAGGGAAGGTAGTTCACGGATATGTGTGTACAAACTTGGAGGGAAGGGGAGGAGGAACTACTGCGCTGAGAGGTGTATTGTTCTGTATAGCCAAAAGTATTACGTGTGAAATTTAGACTCAACGACTTGGGTCTATAATCGGCTCCGCTTTTGTACACTGTCTGCTGAAACCAGGCTCTTGATTTAGGATTTCTTTTGGCAGAACCAAATTCTGTTCAAGTTACGGGAAATCACTTAATTTAGGTCTGAATACCCCAAGGGATTTCTAGAAGTATGACGCGCAAGCCTCTCCCCGCTGTCTTTAAGCACCTGTTCCTTTTCGCTCTCATTTTTGCTATGTGTGGGTTGTTTCTGGCTTGCTTGACGTTGAACTGTTTAATTAAGAAGAACTATTCATTGTTCAGCACACAATACTTAGGGTTTATTCCATAAATAAGAGAAGTACAACTTTCCTTAAGTGTAGCACAACAGTTAAAAAAATCGATAATTTTCCCCAAATTATCTTTCACAAGGCCTACAAAATATTGCCTTCATTACATTCAACTAACTTGCTGGTCTGAAAAAAAATAACTTAATTCCATAAAGTGGCATGCCTGTCTTTTTCTGCTATGTAGTTACACAATTTTGCTGTAAATTGACAACAGGCCATTGAAAAACACAACACAATGAAATTACCAAGTCCAACATTCCCAGGACCTCGACTTTGAATACCATAAAGTAAGAATGCATCAATCTACAGGTGTTTAAGTGCAAATTTGTCTTCATATGAACCATTCTTCATTGTTTAGTAAATTGGATTGAGGATTGTTATCCAAGAATAGACTGTTCTCCATCACTTTGCCGAGCACTGCTCAGAATTCTGTTCCCAGATATGAGTTTTAAGTCATCTCCCAACTGACTTGACTGAGGCTCACCTGTAACGTTATCAGTGATTTTATGAATGCTTCAGGTTTTGGTAAATAATTATTGAATATTCTGATTATTAGGAGATAAGTGAATTTTCCAGCTTCTAGCCAAGATTTTCTGGCTAACAATTAACCCTCTAACTCCCATATCAAATTTGTAATTCTCTTTACTGTCAACCATAAAGTTATTATAATGTTAGCTTAGAGAATTTAGAATTGGATCAACCAGTTATCTCCAAATTGATATTTTTCTATATTCTCATCACTTATTTGGTTGATATTGTATTGATATTGAAAGGAGAAATTCTGTCTTGGTCACTCATGGGAGGTAAAGGGTTAACCAATAGATTCCAAGCTGTTTTGCCTTTGTTCAGTAAAAGATCACCAGTGACATCAAATTGTGGTAAGAGAAAAAGTGACACACTGCAAGGCAGAGACAATATCTTCAATTTCAAAAGTTGCTGTTGTCATAAACATCATGACAATTATTTTAGCCTATACCAAATCTTATATGAATATGGGAACTAAAAACAGTTGTAATTTCTGACTATTTAGTACTTTGTCTTGAAAATAAGAGACAGCATTTATGAGGAGTAGTGATTTTTCTTTACCTGTGATGATGTTATAAGAATAAGGAATTGTTGGAATTCTCCTAACCCCAGGACCTTGTTGTCTTCCAAGTAAATCATGCACATTGCAATAAGTGGTTGAGAAGTTCATCTGCACAAAAAAAAGAGACACACAGCTGGTTGAAACAACACACATAACAGTGTAAATGATTGGTCATTAATTTACAATATCTTGAAACAAAAAGGCTGTTTTGGTCAATGATCAATGTTTTTCACCTTCCCCAAATCTCTCCGTGAGAGGATGACTCGTAAATAGAGCAGTAGGGTCAACTGGTCTCAGGATTACATTGGTCTACATGTTGACAATGGGCTTAAATTTCACAATTGCTAGAAGCAACTGACTGTTCAAAATTTCATAAAGTATTTTTTTTTTTTGATGTGATCTTGATATTTAGAAAAACTATGTGGAACAAAAACAAAAATTCTGTGAAAGTTCCTCCCAATCCCTCTGGAGCATTACCTCCTGAGAACCTTGCTGTCTTGTTGATTGAATCATATCAATTCCTGCCATCTGTCTGTTCCATCTGATGTTATCCTCATGGATTTCTTTGGCCTGTAAATGATGCTATGTTACTGAATGTATAACATGTAGGATCTAAAACAGTGGACTCAACAACCCTTACCATTTTCCATAATTACTTGGTTCAAAGCTGCACTGCTCATTGGGTTTTTAGGGTCTCTAATTTGACATTTATTCAATAACAACATTTGTTTCAAAATAATATTCTTTAGGTTACAGTAAGCTGACAGCAATTACTGTGGATCAAATGTAAATACTACATAAAACAGATTTATGTTTAAACTTCCAGTGTCTTGTTATTTTTTAAGTATAAATTTCTAAGGATTACAGTGCAGATTAAAAAGTTATTCTTTACTTTTTTTTCCTATGAAGAGATTGAACACAGTTTTTGTAATGTTAAATTTTAAATGTTAAACAAAGTCTCAGGAAACATTAGGACTCTCGAGAAAACAAAACTAACTATTTCCCTCAGGACCATACATTAAGTGTATAATATTTAATATAATACTTATCACAGGTACTTCACTTACTGGACTAGTATGATGCCTCACAAATGTCTTCCTAGAGTGTGTATCAAGGTCGTGTCCTGGTACAATTCCAATACTGAAGTGTGATGTGTGCTGAGATGGGTAAGGAGGAGGTCTCCTACTAGGTTGTAAATTCTTTTGTCCAGAAAAGTTCTGTGAGAAATAAATCAAAACAAGATAATATCTCAAATGTTTATAAGAAATGGTCTTCTGTGCATGCTGATGCCAGGAACACTTTCTCTCCATCCAAAATCAGGAAGGAAAAGAAAAGACAGAGAGAGGGAGAAGGAAAATGGAGGGAGAAACAACACTGAACCAGTTGCACAAAAAATAATTCTTAAAAATTATGTCTGAAAATAATCACCTTGAATGGTGTAATTTTCATAATTTTTAAAGAGAGAGTCTCATCTGCATGCTACTGCAGGGACCATTTTCTCTCCATCAAATATCAGAAAGGCAAGGAAAAGAGAGGAAGAAAGAGAAAGTAGAGAGAGAAACAGCAATGTGGAGCAGTTGAACAGAACAAGTTTTAGCTATCCAAGGATTAGCACAAAGGTTCAGATCTTGTACCATAGCCTTTAAGACAGATGCAACCTTTGTATTGCTTTTCTTTAATGCTGCTATTATAATACACAAGATCACCTGGCCATAAGTGAGCCCTACCAAATAATTTTGTACAAGAGAACCAAAAAAAAAAATTAAGTCAAATCTTGAATTAGTGCTATGCAAGGCTCCAAGTGAACAAATTGCAGAATTCAGTTCCTGTCTTAGAGAAAGGTGTCACCGGCTACCACTATTTTATATAAAAAAAACTCTTCATGCCACATTTTTACAAGGGAGCAGTGCCTTAAAGATGTAAATTGGTTAAATAGACAGCATGTGTACTGCCAAAGAGTATGGTGTTTAAGACACATGTATGCAAGGCAGTGATTCTTAGGTCAGGCCTAAAAAAGTAAGGAAAACAGGTTCTGTACGTCTGAAGGACAGGAAAGTTCTATAAAGCACGCCAAATACTTCAACCAACATAACTTTCGGATAGCAGGTAATTTAGTGTTAACAGCTGGGTTAAAAACGTAAATTAGCCACCGTAAAGGGTAAAAAAGCTGACGTTTCGAGCGTTAGCCCTTCGTCAGAGCGATACCATACCTCTGTGGTTTTAAAATTCCCAGGCCCCCGAAATAAAGAATACGATCGATCGGAAATTTCAATTTTGTTATTTTCATTTTAAATCCATCAATCTTCCACATAGTGAAATAAAAAATTACGTCAATTATGTTTCGTCGAATTGTAGATTTAATATGTGGGATTTAAAAGTCAGGGTAGCAATAACTTTATAATATATTGACTGTGGCTGTCATCCGCCTTTGCTGTGAACAAGTAGATCACGAAATGGTTATTGCGTCCTAAAAGCCGCAACTAAAAACATACAAGCTCTCATCTGAAGAAGAGTAATCATTGCTGCGAGAGGGAATATTTATATACAAGGAGTACACTTGACAGCGTAAAAATACAACTCATTCTTAAGAAACCTATTCAGATGATTGAAAACACTTGTGTTATTTGCTTTGCCGCTTCATACAACGTGTGAAACTAAACAACACACAGCTGTCTCACCACGCTGTTAGGATAAAAAATATTTACCTACCGACTTCATACAGCTGACATACGAAGTCTTAACTGGTTTTACTTCGTAAGTTAGCGTGGATTTGTGCATTGGTCTGGTTCCCTTCCTATGTCGCGCTTGTGGAAAAGTATTACATCTTGAATGCCGCGAAAAATACGGCTCATCTGCTATAATGGTGATGTATTTTGAACGATTTGTAAGCACGGCGGATGTGTCTGCTCCCTGGCCGAAGCCAGAGACACATTGTGCCACTGTAGACATTTCTTTTCCTTGTAAACTAGGCCATTGCTGTTGTTGTTCAGCTTCGAAATGACGACCGTGACCCCGAGAAGTATGTGTGTGCTTCAATGTCACGCTGGTTTCTATGGAAACTAATTTCGTTTTCACGAGACTGTGAAATTAAGGTCTATAAATACATCTCTTTTTGCCACAATTCATTGACGTCAGACGTAAAAATTTTGCTTTTCTAATAGGAATCTAAATTTTTATTCCTCACCATGAAAAGTATCTGAATAGCCAAATATGATTAAAACTCTAACTCTTAATTTCATTAATGTTTTCAGCCTATTGCTCAATTAATAATTTCAACTATTTCCAATCATCACTTAAGGTATTTTTCGTAATGATGGGCAACTCAATTGCGACAATAGAGTGTCTTCCAGACATCCTTATTTTGAGCTTTACAAGCCAATAACTAGACGAGGCCAATGAATCCAATTTTTTTAATATCTCATTGCAATCAGCTTAACATAATTCATTTATTTAAAAAGTTAAAAATCTTTGGAGCATATTCGGAGCCAAGTCGATTGCGCGATAATTATAAGTAGGTCAGTCTAAACCAACACCACACGTCTTTTTTTTAAAAATGGCGAGAAAAAATGGAGACCATTTTATATCAACAAACCCTTCATCAAATTAAGGACCAAATAAATTTTTATTGAACCTCACATAAGTATGTATAACATACAGTTTGTTTTCTCAAAACTTTTTAAACAGTATCTCTAAACTATACTAGAATTAAAAAAAATAATAATAATTAGAATGTCGCATCTCCGGCTGTCACTGTTATGAATATGGCTAAAGAAAATTCATGATTTTAAATACTTGATAAAAATCCATTTAGGAGCGGTTTGTGTTCGTCTTTTACCACGATGTTCTATGCAACGAATAACGCAACTTCTGCACTGGCAACGCTAATGTTGTGGTTTTAACTTTCTCAATGTCTTTTTTTCCATTTTACCGTGCCGTTCTCTGTCAGCATTTGCTCTTTCTCCCACTCTCCGAATTTATCAGCTGTAGCAGGCTCAGCCAATGTTGCTCTTTCTATTTAATCCTATCTTTGGAAGATATATTCAGCTAATCTGTTGCATTTCCAGACCCGGTGCTGGAACTAGCAATCACTTCGCGATTCATAGCGCTTCTCATCCTTCATTCAATTACACCGCATTCACACGATCGTACATCATCTTAGGAAGCCTTGCATTGATTCTAAAATGAAAAGAGACAACATCGGTCACTCAAGATCTGGTAAGAGATTCTCCCTTCAGGCTGACGTATATTTCCTTACAAGTCGCTTCGGAGAATATGAGTTAGATCAAGAGAACATCCTTGAGCTGATAAGCTGTTCATTCTCTGCACTGTTTGCTAGATAATGGTTTAAAATTGAGAGGTAAAATAACAAGTTAAAAACTCCTGCGGGTTAAATGGTATAGAATTTTCACATTCTCATCAAAGTTAAGTTGTCGATCTCTTCTCGCGCTAACTTGTCATAAAACTGCATTTAAATTCAACGGCGAATCTAAACGAAATTTTGACATAAATGGCTACCCATCTCATTCCAGATAGCCTGCGAATGGGCCCTCGAACAAAGGAAGTCACGGATAGGTCTGCAAAGGGTCTGGGTCCGGCTTATCATCGGTGCCAGCTCGTTTTGCTCAGGACGCTAGGGCCGAGGCTGATAACGAGGGCCTACTCTACAGGCTAATCTCAGATGGTTGCTAGATTGCCGGCCTTCAAAACATCGCCGCAGTCTCAGTCTTCATTTAGGTCACGTGGTTGCGACGTTCGTTCTCGATGTGTAATAAAACCTGCAGGAGTTTCTTATGAAAACGTGCCAGTCCTCAGCTGCCATAATAGCGAAGTTATAGCAATATTCTCCCAGATAAGTCTGACTCAGTGCTAGGCTAAACTCGTTCGTAAGAGGACTTTTTAAAACCGTTGATTTACTTACGCTTTCTGACGGACGAGTACTTTTTTCCTGAAAAAATACATCGCGACAGCAACTATTGCAATCATACAAACGCTGACTAGGGAAGCTGAGAGAATTACTTCTTGATTCCTGGTTAATGACTTTCCTTTTGAGGCACTCTCTAAATTAATAAGGTTGGAAAAAAAATCCGTCAGAAAAATGAAGCCTTGGCATCTCTGAGATCTATCCATAATTTCTTAATAATAAATTTAACAAAACCGCCGGTGGGCCTGTAAAGAGGAAAGAAAGGAAAAATGGACTGTATCTAAGGTTCGAAATTTCGGAAGATAGTTGCTTAAAATTTATTTCCTTTACATAACCTTTATAGTCAACAGTATCATTTGCAAAAGTCGATATTAATTTTTCTGTGGAATTTTATCACTGTAGTGTAAAATTGCATCTAGTTATTTCCGGTACAATAAGATATTGTGGGTTTATGTGAATTCTTGTTTAGTGTACACAATTGATACTGGTGCTGTGGATACATTAGCTTATAAATAAAAATAATTTTAATTGTGACTGTTCTGATATTCTCTTCCTTCAAAATCATCTTGTCATCGCGGCCTGTCCTCTACTAAAGAAAATAGTGCGGCTGCTTGCAACTCAAACAGTCACTGCGTCTGAACTTTGAGTAATAATTGTGTCAGCTATTGTTCAATCAATGGGAAACACAAAATTATATTCCGATATTTGTTGAGCTTACTGGGATATCGTTAGAAGTTGATGACGACGTGATGTCGTCACCGTTTTCCAAGTGCCCTCATAATTTCTGATTAAAAAAAACGAATCGGAAATGTTTTGAATTTGTCTAGTAACACTGCCCACTTCCGTCAATTTGAGCAACTAAAGCCGATAGACACAGTGAAGAATATTACTAGAATTTTGATGAATGATAGAGAAATGCCTTAACCTTTTCACTGCCAAGATCTCATTATTAATTCTCTTTACTGTCTTTCATATATTTCTTATGTCGTTAGTATTAAGAATTTGGTATTGGATCAACTAAAATTCCCTTAATTTGTCTCTTTCTTAATTCTTATCACTTTCCTGCTTGATATCGTATTGATATTGTAAGGAGAAATTCTATGTTAGTCACTCCTGGGAGTTAGAGGATTAACCTGGCTCACCTTTTTCGATTGATGTTGTGGAAACATCTACCTTTGAGCCCGCAGTCACAGTGTCGGACGATTTTGGTGGAATACTTTTTTCCGTAATTTCTTGAGTTGTAGAGATTGTGGTTACGTCATCAGTCTCTTTAGATGTATTTGGTGTTTCTGTTGTTTCCGGAGGGCTTGTGACGACTGTCGTCGATGATGCAGAATTTGACGAGGATGAAGGGGAAGGCGTAATGGTGTTTGATGATGCAACTGATGACGTAGTTAATGTCGCTGATGACGTAGCCGGTGAGATAATTGATGACGTGACCACAGTGGAAGCCTGTGATGTAGTTGATGACGTAGCGGCTAATTTGATGAATGCTGACGTATATGTGGTTTGTAATGATAGTGTAGACGAAGTCGTATGTTCGCTTATTACTCCAGGTTTCGGCCATGGATTTGTTTCTGAAAATTTGCAGGGATAAAAACAATAAATAAAAACAGCATGATGGAAGCTGTCGATTCCTAACTAGAAATGAAAATTTCGGCGACAAAGCTTCCTCTGTGGACTAAGAGTTCATTCATTTGCAATCAGATGACAGAGGAAACCTTTCAAAAGGGGCGCGGTTGGAATAAGACAAATTAAGCTTTGATAATGTAGAGCCATCAAGAAAGTGATGAAATGCGAACCTCCACAAATAGAAATCTCCGTGCAAGCATACACCAAGTAATGTCTTAAACCTCATCATCACCCTAATAATTTCACCCCCCATGAGCTGACACTAACAGTATTCTTCGGGCCATAGTAGCACCGGATGTTCAACTGTACTCACGCGATCAGTCTCTTACAGACACCTCAGCTTGTTCTTGTTCTAGTGACGAGCAAATTTATAGAAAGACCCAGAAACAAAGAAACAATCTTACCCAAGAGACTGAAGTTAAAAGTAGCCACTTTGCTCCAGTTACCAACAGGTGTTTGACACATGACCTCGTCCACAGAGTGGACCGATGGATGGAGGTCAATCCAAGTCTGAAGCCATTTGAGGTCCTGGGTGCACAACAGTGGATTACGGGAAAGCCCTCTGTATAAGAGACAATGAAAATTACTGACAAGGAAAATTTGTTTAATGGTCAAGAATCCCTTGACTTTGAGATCATTTCCTTTATTCTCGTGACCTTAATGTTTGATTCAGGGATGATATTGTAAGGAGAAATTAGATGCTAGTCACTCTTCGAGGTCAAAACGTCAAGAGATCGCACGTAATGAGTGCGTAGTTTTCAAGTCAGCTCAGTGTTACATTTAAACGTCTTTCGTTATATGTTTTTCATAAACGCCTTTTTTTTTCGCAACGGACATGCTTTGACTCATGGAAGAGATAATGTCATGTGCAGAAGAATTCATGGTGTAATTGTTAGTGCCACTTCTTCCTTATTCTTCCCAGCCATTGTTCCAGCACTACTTGCGCTGCATCAACCATTATTGTTTAGTGCTGAGGGGAAGTTAAGTGGAAACCTGAACAGTTCAGTTCTGGCTTTTTGCATTAACATAAACCGCAAAACACGACGAAAGTATGCAATAATATAACTGATTAGTCTAGAGCCAAACTGTAGTCACAACATAAACATGTCAGCATTCTTTCAACCGTTGAAGCAAGAAAAAATTTAAATACATTAAAACTGTTATGTAAAAGATTTACTGAAATAAATCGGGAAAAAGTTGCATTGTACAGGAGAAACTAGCACCAACTATTGTAACAGCGATTTTGATGATTCGGTTTTCTGCTAAGGGTCACATCGGGCAGAATACGTGGACATCATTAATCATTAATCAAACATAACTGATATAGGGGCAAATTGAACGCAACCTCGTTTTAAAGAGCGAAAGAGCTCTAACTTAGAGAAGAATAGGCCAAAATTGCCCATAAGGCTTCGTAAAACCCACTTTTCTGAGTTTTAGAAGTGCTTATTTCTAAATAAACGCACGGCCTCTTGAAGATGAAAGATGTATCTACAATTTGCACCTAAAATGAACGATTTTTACGAAGTAAAAGCATTATCCCTTAGCACTTAAAGATACTAGAAATTCGATCAATTTCAGATTCTGCTAATGTAATAAAACAGTGATCCTTTTAATCCCAGATCGTACGTATTTTACACATAATAATTGTAACTATAGAACGTCACACGATCCGAGTTTCGAAATCTTCGATGTATTTTCCCAGTTGTTTATTGAACGCAAACGTAATTCACTTCCGATTTTTTGTTCGATAGATTTTAAATTTGCAGAACATTTTCAAGTACTCACATAGTTGAACGCTGGTGCCGGGCTATGTTGTCGAATATCTCCTTGGCCTCGTAGGGGATCGTGGTGAAAAGATTGCCATCCAAAAGACTGCAAAAAATAACAATGAAGCCTTCAGATCATGTTCGCGTGGTGCAATTGTGTGATGTGGGGCTGTAGTAAAAAAATTATGTTTGGGTAAAAGTATGCGATGCAGCTACAAAAACTCTGCCGAGGCGACAACGGTTGCAATGCCAGATCTTAATTATCAAAAGGAAAAATAATGAAAGTGTCTGAAGGACATTGTACCATACTTTATCAGCATGGTAGAACAAGAGCGCTTTTCATTGGAGCGTCGTCCAACCAAAACCAAAGGAATCACAAGAGCCAATCAGAGAGCAAAGGAAAATACCGTGAAGAGCCAATAAGAACTCAAAGTGAAAACAAGCAAACTGCCTAAAGCGCGGGAAAACGCGGTTGTCCATATTGCGATTGATGAGTTTTAAAGCTGATTGGTGCAGAAAATGGCGCGAGTTTCCTGAAGAAATCACAGATGGAAGGTGAGCAAAACCATTAAAATCTCCTACTACTCTCGACACTCATGAAAACAATTGCTCTTTCAAGGTGGTTCAGGTATTCCAACACAAGTATAGCACACTTATGGGACAAGGCTTTGGTGACAAAGTAATGAAATAGTAAAAATAAGTTAAACACAACCATGATTTTCTACTTACAGAGTAGATAATTTAGTTAAGTTCTTGAGAAGTTCTAAAGGAAACTCAGTTAGCTGATTATCCTTCAATTCCCTGAAACATGAAAAACACGAGAAGGGATTATCAAAAATCAAAAAGCGCACAGTAACGTAGTTCAAGACTTCAAGGTAAGGAACACTTAATTCCGTGTTGAGAGACTCGGATCCAGTACCTGACCGGGTCATTGTGTTGTGTTCTTGGCTTGCCTCTCTTCACCCCCCAGGAGTATAGATGGGTAGAGGGAAAATAATGTAACGTAGATCGGCTTAAACCCTGAGGCATTATGGGCCATTTGGCTCGAGAGCAATCAGTTCAACGTAGTGACGAAGTCTCTTGATTCCGATTAACCGTTTCAAAACTTCGAGAATCAGGGGGCAGAAAATGCCTTTGCAACTGCCATTGTGAGTGGTTTCCTTTCTTCCCCATGGCCGTTAAGAGGGCTCACTCGACAGAGTTCACAACAGAGTCACAGCAAACACGAACGACAAAGTGCACCCTAAAATGCCTTCTTGATCGAGCGTAATATTCCTTTCTATTGTAGTACACTCAAACCAATCGGCCCCGAGCGATTTTCAAACGGCATCCAACCATGTTAATGGCAATAAAAAAGCTTCCCATGTTCAGAAAATGGTTATCTTTCCCAAAGGTTGCAACCACAGGGTGTAGGGAACGGTGTATGAACGTAAATCAGCGCGAATCAGTTAAATGCAATTATATGATCGTAAATGATTTGCAGCACGAAAAACATGTTAATGTTGTTGTTAGCTTTGAGTTTTGAGACATCTCTTAGTTCACTACTGAGAACTTACAAAATTGATAACTCCCCATGTCTTGCCAAGAGAGTGGAAGATATCGAAGTTATTTTGTTGTTGTCAAGTCTCCTAATAGAGGCGGATGAAATCATGGCATGAAATGTTAAACAAGGTCACGATGAACACTGAAACTAGATTAGTAATATTCACTCCGATCGTGGTTTGACAGTGTTAGTTGAGTGCAAGGATTAGAAATTAGATTGTTACGTGTAAAAGCTTTGAAGCGTTAGAAAACATAAATGTTGAATTCGTGTCAGTTGTGTGCTCAAAAAAAGTTTTCTTATTCAAATTTACGGTACTGTGCATAAGTTTAAGGTACATCATAGTGTGGTGCAGTGCAGTAATACAGTGTAATCCACTTTAATCGTAGTTTTTCGCTAGGGTGACAGGATTTAACCACCGTGCACCATATTGCTTTTCAGTGCATTGCAGTGCAATATAGGTTTACTGATATATCTCATTACTTAACAAATAGTCGGAACTAAGAAAAAGTTACAATAGAAAGAAGATCTGTCAAAGCATAAAAACATAACTATTAATATTGATTATGCAAAATGAAGTAGAAATGGTTGAGAATTGTCAAAGATCCCCATACCAACTCGAACTATAATTTCGATACTACTTCAGGAGGTATACACCTGATTGCAATAACATTTTCAAAGAAAAAAAAGCGAACAAAAAGCAAATTTCAAAATATGTATTAACATGAGCAGTTCCCCGAGACACGGCAGACTCTCCATGGCTGACGTGAAAAAGATGAAAAGTGAATTTCGTAAATCATATAAAGTTAACAGAAATCAGTTTATAAGCAATTTTCGCAGCTACAGTAAGTCCATAAGGAGATTATTTATTGTTGTGGGTATTATTCTATAAAACGTTATTGCAATAAGGTGTATCTTGAAAAATATCAGAAATATTCGAGTCCTTCTTTTGAAATCGGTGCTAATCTTCTCTCTCCGAAAAGGAATTTTCGTTTTCCCTATTTTTATGGTGCAGCATTTGTGTCATACCAATTTTATTACACAAAATTTCCACGAAGCTACCTAAAAATAGATTTTAAAGCTTAAGTACGTAATTTCGTAAACTTACAATAATTCTAAAAACTTACAAGTACTCCAGGTTAACTGTGTCGTCAAATAATCCTTCCGGAAGCGTTTGCAAATTGTTATGGGAAAGATGACTGCAAAACGAAAGCTTCTACGATTAATTTTGAACTCTTGAAGAAGAACATGTTGTGACAACATGAAGACATATAAACTGATGGCAGAGGGAAATCAAGATTTATCTAAGTACTTACATCCTTTTTATTTGAGAGATTCCTTGGAAAGAGTCTTTATAAAGAACTTTTATATCGTTGCTATTTAACACTCTGCAAAGATAAAAAAGAAAAAACAATGAGTATACAGTAAAGGAAGGAAAAAGCTTTGAAAGAGATAGAAGAATGCTCGAACGACAAAGCAAACATCGGACACTGGGAAAGCGATGAAAAACTTACAACTCTCTAAGCTTTTTAAGGCCTTGGAAAGCGTTTCCTTCGATTGTTGTTAATGGATTGTGCCGCATTTCTCTGCAAATAGAAAAATAACAAGTGATACTTTACAGAAGTGGATATCATTACTTGAGTTCGAAACCTTTTCCAAACGACGGGAACTAAATTTTGATAGCATACAATTCAAGTTAATCCATCCCACGTGGTAAGCTTTTCCTCAAGGTTTCATACTTTTTGAGAACAGTTCTGTCTTTTCACGGTATTTTTCTCAAAATCAACATTTCGGATCAGATTTTTAAAGCCCTATCCCAGTATTTAAATTCGTTTTCGTGTACAGCCCATGGAGCTGGTGTTTCCATGGGTTTTTTTCTGGGGGGGGGGGGGGGGGGGGGGGGGGATATTGAGCAGCAAAGCTGTAGAAGAAATAGTAATTGGAAAAGTCGAGACTCCGCTGCCTGCATTTTTGAAGTATGCTCGAAAAACCGCGCGCTCTCCACATAAGGCCTACACTGCAGATTATCTTATAGGCATTTCGCTATTTGATGGTGTGTGTCTACATTAGTGTATTCACATAGTGTTGAAATACTGATGTTTGATCCGACCGGGTGCGGCAAAAGCGTTTTCATTTTGTATTCAAGAATAAGATAAACTCTTTTTTTCTTGGCCAGTAAGAAAAAATGAATCAATGGCGAAGGATTTCTGGTTTAAAGAGAAAAAATTTTTTTTTCTACAAGTCTGATTATACTGATCCGACATCTAGCACATAAGATACTCTTTTGTTTCATTAATCATCAAAAGTTGTAAAAAACGAGGGATGCTATCTTTCATTTTACAAATTTCTTCTCAAGTAGTTTGAATAGTTTTGCCCAGACACTCAGGTACAGCAAAAGTCCGACTTATGCGAAATATTTAAGAAAACAACCGTATTGATCATATCTAATAATATCTTCGCTATATTTCCACGAGAGAGTCTACTGAGGCGTCAGTTATTTAAGTAGCAATACGGTGACCTTGTTCAATATAGAATATACCGGGATACGGATCTTAAACAACAAAGTGCTTGGAAAGCCGGAAATCTGACTCTAGCGTCAAGGTTACGTCGAGTCGATTTTTCACAGGAATTTCTAAAATGTGGATCAGTTGTATTTAAAAGAGAAAAAAAGAGAGTAAGAAACGATTGTTAAATAGTAGCAAAACACATTGTATGGCGATTCAGGACGCCAGTCTTTTGATCTATGTTTCATCGACAGCTTCGTAATCAAACAGGGTATGCCGTGCTCTTCATGTACTCAAAGCACAAATTTGGTGATTTTAAAAACGCAAGCCAAAGATTTACATCTTTGGTTTTGGTCAATAAATGCTTAGCCAGTTAGAGAGATTGACACTGATACAACATGAACTTCTTTATCAATTCATATCCAAAGAGGCTAATATAAAAACCCAACACTTACAAAGTAACGATAAGTATTCTTGACACGATCTCTAACCTCTTCAATTCATCATTTGCATAATGTCGAGACAGCCACTTACGTAAATGATATAAGCCCCAGGGAATACGTGAAGACATTTTTCGTTTTACTAGAACATACTACGGTTGTAACACTTTGAAATACCCCGGTAAATTAATATCATTATTGGAATAATAGCCTATTCAAGTCTTGCATTGTCACTTCGATCAGGATTTTTCTGATTTCTCCCTCGCTCTAGGCAACGGATAGATTAGTTTACCCAAGAATCACAGATTGAAGTGAAACCGTGGATTTGCGTTGTTTTTGATTACAAGTTTCATGGTATTTACTCCTAAAAAACCAACTAGCTTCTCAATAACTCTTCATCGAAGCCCAATCGATTCCTTGAAACTTTCCGCCAGTTTACTTCTGTACTTTTTGATAGCTAATTTATTCAAATCCCACACACTGGGCCGGCCTTTTAGCATTGGGTGTTATAATCGTTTGTTAATCTGTTTGGCATATTTTTAATTAAAAGAACAGAAAAGACGAACGAGTTCATTGAACTTCACAAACGCCGACAGATTGCTTGAGAATGGCGCTGAATGGAGTGCTAAAAGCCTCGAAAATTGTTTGGATTTGTTTATGAAGTTCATTTTATAATATTCTGCGAGGAGGTTAGGAAACAATACCAAACAGACACTATTCCGCAGAGATAAGCAATTTAACATAAGAGGTGGTTTTCTGTTATATTTACAAAAAGCTATTTTTAAGATTGCCTTGGGCAAGGATGAATCATACTGTCCCTGATTTTTGACAAAAAGAAACTTAAGAATGTAAACTATTAAGTATTGCACAATGTATTTTGTGAAGTGAAGTATCAATCTAGATAATATATTTGTCTGTTTGAACCAGCCTTCTGATCGGTTGAGAAGTTAATTGGCAAAGTTGTTTGGAACGCGTGACGCTATCTTTGCGAGTAAAAGCTTTCTAATTTCGATTTAATTTCTAGGTACTTTTTATTAGTTTTCTTATTACTCTCAGAGTTGTTGTCTCGATTTCAGTTTATAACTAATCAGTTCTGTAAGAGCTTTAATAATTTATTTATCCCGTATTATCTATTGTCTAAGTGGCAATAAATTCATTGAATCTTATCAACAGAGTTTAAGAACTTAACGAAGCAGGTTAAAGCATCTGAGAAAATCTGCGCGGAAAAAAAAAAACTCATGGAAAATTTTGCACTTATTCACGCGCTTCCAAAAATATTTTCTATTTAAGTAACCAACCCAAACATTCTCCAAAACAGGCTTAATAAGCAAAATTGATATAGGCAGTTTGAAATAGTATAGGTCATTGCTAATTAAAAAATTCGACAAGCGTCTCAAGAGATGATTCAATGTGGCCTATAGGAACACCCTCTCTATTAAAAACCTGCCATGCATAACAAATGTGGTTTTTTGGTGAAACCGGTATTTTGATTTTCGCGATATTTATTCCTCCTTTTCTTGCCACATCTTCTAAAAAAAGCCGATTTCCGACAACATACAATCATGTTTTATTAGTACTTGTACATTCTACGTGTGTGTGTATTTATTTCTTTCTGCTGAGGAAGTAGGTTTTGATCTTGTACAAAAGATAGCTCCAGAAAATATGCGCCGGTAATAAAAGGCGACGTTGTCACACAATGTCAAGAAATATACAACTAAAATAACTTACATTTCAGTGACATTAGGCAATCCTTGAAAGGCGTTCTTCTGAATCAGTGATATCTGCGTTTTGCTGAATATCCTACGATGAAAACAAAAGCGAGAAATAACGTGTGAGCCAGAGAAATTTATAAAGTAGTTTACTATTGAACCAAACAAGAAAGAAGTTTCGTTCATAAAAATGCGAGGAACAAGGTCTAAAGTTTGAAGTGCTTATATTCAATTCAGACTTTGTGTTCATATGTCGTTTTCGTCATCTGCATTTTGTGCTTTGTTTACTTTTAAAAAATCGTGCTTTAGATACAGCTCCTGTTATCTCGAGCGAAATAAAGAACAACATTAGTTTTTTCAGGACAGTGAATATTAATAAAGAGAACTTTACTTTCATTGTTTATTGACGACGACAAGTAATAAGCAACTATCTGCATTCGCCTTCCTAAACATTTTTGATAATCTGTCAAATGTTTGCTTATCGAAACGAACATTTGTTACAACCGCTTACTTCAGGAATTCTTTCAAACTCTGAGCAAGTAAACGGCAAAACCAGAAAACTATTTGGATTAAACAAATTGTCCCGAATAACACTGAATTTCGATTTCCCGCTGCGGTGTGTCCGAGAAACTTTCATTATCGAATCGATCTAAATGAAAGCAAATGCTTCAGCAATCCGGTTTGCAAGAGTGACATGTTGATGTTAAAAGACTGACTGCGATTGACTGGTTAAAGGTTCGACAGCACACGGTAATTGAATTTTATCGGCCATGTTCACGCCATTTGAAATCCTCGCCACTATGTTTTAAAACAACAAATCGCTTCTGAAAGGTGACAAAATTTTATGATTTGATAACAAGACATGTATCAAAGGTTAGGAAGCAAATAAACTTAAGTTATACTCACAGTCTGCGTGCATTTGCTGGGATGCCAGAAGGTATGGTTTTCAAAGAGGAGACGTTGTAGCAGTCTACGTATAAAACTGCTCTGACCTCAACACATTCGCACTTTGAGGGACAAGAAAGAGAAAGAGTTGTGGTAGCTTGGAGAAGTAGTAAAAAACAGATAACGTTTAACTGTTTGCACCATGGAGCTACAACCAAATCCATTTCCTTTTCTTGCACTCAATGAAATCCGATCTCGCTCGTGTAAATATCGTTTGATCGACACAACGCGACAAAGTATTTTATAAATATTTGCCCACGCATGCGTCACAGCTACCCTACAGGAAACCTTGACGCTCACTGACTCTCAGTAATTCATATATTACAATGGAAATGGTTTCGCACCGGAAATACTCGTCAAACTACTGACACACCTGCCTCCAAGAACTCCAAAACATCCATTTCTAATGTGATGAATTCTGGCTACATGAATGAACCCAGAACTTAACCAAAATCCAATGTGTAGGAGATTAAGTATTTATTGTGATGCTCGCTGTTTGCCGTTTGCCTAGGTAACAAGTTTAGCACGGCCACTATACTAACTGAAACATGCATAGATGATGAGGAAATTCAGTTTTGATTCATCATTTTGATATTAAAGAACAAGGAAGGCTCTCTACTTTTTTTTTTGTCAGATGATTCATTAATGTATCTCTTACTTTATTTACTAAAACACTTATGAAAAAGTATAGATTGGTATTCACTAAAGAGTTGCTGAATGCAAATTACAATATTGAACTTTAAGTACTAAATTTTTACATCTGTCATGTCTGATTGTAACATATATATTTTAAAGTCTTAAAGTCATTTTCATCGTCTTATCTTAAAGGGTAGTTAATGCTTCCAACTGCATGAAGTAAAGAATTACGCATCGAATGAAAACTACTGACCATCAAAACGTGTTTCAATCAAGAAGGAAAAAAAATAAGAACCAACATTCTTAAGTGTATACACTCACTAAAAGGTGACCATATCTCTAATAGTTTTCTCTCTCGTGAAGGGAAATAAATATGTTTATAAATACTGTTGTTTTCAATATCATTGCTTTCAGATGTCCTTAAAAAGTCATTCTGTCAGACAATCCAACTCTCCATAAAGGAAGCCATTCAACGATGCAAAATAGGAACGATGTACCAATGATAAAAAGTGCAGAATAAAAGTTATTTCCCGAGGCGTCTCTATCAAAAAAGTGAATAGCTGATAATCGCGGATTGGAAGAAAAAGAGCCAAATGAATATCTGAAATTGCAATTTTTTGTTTCTTTGATAATTTGTGAGGAAAGTGTGCGTCACTTTAAAAACTGTGCGTCACTTTAAAATGAAGTGGGAAGCGAACAGACTAGATTGTCCAGTTTTTCGTCAATCTTTTTATACAAATCTCAATTATCAATCATAGAGTGGCTGGAATGGTACCCTAAAAATCAAAGAATGAAATTTTATTCAAGGGCTTCCTTCCCTTCCGGCTCTTTTGAGTCTTAACGACTTCCCTCTAAAGAATAAAAAAAAAGCACTTTTAGATACCACCAAGCAAGCCTCGGTATCCGTTGATAAAATGTTTTCTTCATTTGTTGTCATCTTCCGCTTAAATGCCGCTAAAATATCCGGAAATCTAAACAAGAGCGCTGTAGCTGTAGATAAACTAGCTAAAAGAATCATTTACCGAGAAGTAATGATTAATAGGTCATGATTCTCAGACGGAACAGGATTGCTGGGATAGACAAGTATATTCCTTGTCTCAGTATATAAATATCACTTTGTAGGGCATTGTTGGCGAGAAATTTTTCGGGCTAAAATGAAGTATTTGGTAGGGCAAAATGCATTTTAACCCGCTCTCACACACGCGTGATTTAGTCATTTTTTTCAGTTTTTATCCTCTCAGTGCCCTCCAAAATGATATAATCATAAAGAATAGTAATACAGTTTATGTTCTTGAGCATAAGTGTGTTTTTTGTTAAAGTATTTCGTAATTTGTGACATGGAGTACACCGCGAAAATCTTCGAAGGTTTCATAGGCAACGCGACAACAAATAACATTTTCTGCTATAAAATACCAAATGAATAAAGGGGGTAAGTTTCTAAAGAAACTGTGGTGCTGCGTTGGTGGGAGAGTATAACAGGTAATTTAGTGTTAACAACTGAGTTGAAAACGTAAATTAGCCACCGTAAAGGGTAAAAAAGCTGACGTTTCGAGCGTTAGCCCTTCGTCAGAGCGATAGACAAAGGGCCAACGCTCGAAAGGTCAGCCTTTGGATTCTTTACAGTGGCTAATTTACGTTCTCAACTCAGTTGTTAACGCTAAATTACTTGAAATAAAATATCAAGCCCACTAAACAGTAAAGGGACTTCGTTCAGTTTTTCCCTCAGTCGTAAATTTGATTTGTTGCACGATGCATTTGTTTAGAATTGCTGAAAAAAATTCCTGTCGGGCAAAAACGAGCCGTTTTGAATAGCTTGCAGAGGTAGTGGTTTTGTTAAAGGTTTTTACTCCCACAAAATAAAACCAAGAAGAGTGAAACCACAAAAGGAATAAAATAGAGAAAGTCGACTTCCTTGCTGCCTCACCGAGCGTTTCCACGGCTCCTTCTCATTCCTTTTCGGTTGCCTCCCACAAAACCGCCGGCCACTCAGGGTAACTTTAAAAGAACAGAATTTTCCATCCGCTTCTTCTCATGGCGACCCTCATACTAACAAAATGACGAAGTTATACCTGTTAAATTCACAACATCCTAACTAAAAAAAAACTGCCTGTGAGTTGTTTGAAGAGGTACACCACGTTAGGAAATGCAGAGTATAATTCATGAGATCGAAACCAACCAATCACATCCAACTTATGCTACTTGAGTCCCACAGCAACTGACATCACCACAAAACTGACCAATCAATTCTCACGAACCAAACTTATAACGGGGTAAAGTTTCTAAAGAAACTGTGGTGCTGTGTCGGTGGGGGAGTATAGCAAGGTAATTTTGGTTTCATCAACAGAGTTGATAATGTAAATTGGCCACCGTAAGGAGTTTCAAAGCTGACGTTTCGAGCGTCAGTCCTTCGCTCTGACAAAGGGCTAACGCCTGAAATGTCAGCTTCGAAACTCTTTACGGTGGTCAACAAACTTAAAACACTCGACTTAATTCCACCTTTTTCTTCCTTATGTGTCGTAATCTGGATCGTGAAATTCAAATTCATCTGCATTTGGGGTCAAGTCCCATTATGCAAGCTACTTCGAATCCCCGTTGCTATCTGTTTGCCTACAATTGGGGGTTTCGAGGATGTTCGCCAATTTAAATCTACGATTTGGTACAACCTTACTTTCCAAGTAATGGGCTCCTGAGTTTACTTAAACTAAAGATAGAAGAGGTTTTAAAATCACGTCTGCAAAAACCTTCTTTGTTCTGATAGGAGTGAGAAGGTAGTCGAAAGGTTTTCAACCCATAAGTGTGATAATTGGCAGGTTTTGGAGACAACTATTGGCGGGAAAGCTGCCCGCCACCAACGATCTTCTCAGTAGAGGAAGGTTGGGGAGAGAAAGAAATTTCTAAGGAGGGGTTAGGCACGAGAAGGGCAGTGGGCAAGTCCCCTCCTTTCCCCTCTTCGTCATTACCACAAAATGAAGAGTAGACATAGCGTCATTTTCCATATAACAGGCCACATGCAATGTAAGCCATGGTCAGACCAGATGATGCGGGAAATAGTAAGATATTAACTGAGGACAGACTGCATTTTCTGCCGAAATTGATGATAGATATGGTTGTAATCAGTTCATTTGTTTTGCCCGGACAGATAGTGGCCGGTCTTGCTGCCTTTTTCATCTTTCGAAAATCAAATTCATGGTACACAGTTGACAACTTAACTACTGTGCTTTGCTACCTTTCACCAGATCATCCTTGTAGTTGCTGTGTATTTCTTGGGGCTTTTCTTGCTAATTGCCATATAATTTTAATTATCATAACAATGAGCCTCACCCAACTCCACGATATCACATGAACATTAGCACATGGTTTTCAAATTTTTGAAGCAAATGTTTTATTTTGAGTGTTTATTGACTGAATCATAAGTTAAATAAGTGATCAAACCCAACCCCCTCCCCCATCGAAAGTCAAAACGAGCTATTTTACTTCCTTCCCCAATCCTCCTGGGCCAAAGTAATTGCTTCTAGATCCAATAAATGTGAATTGTGCGAGATGCAGTATCTTCTAAGTTTCCTTTAAGCCTGATCAACAACCTTGTATTTATTGGATCACGTGAAAATGACTGTGAAACTGGTTTCTTTTTGTAGATTGTTTGATGCATTTTCAATTCCTTCTCTCATGGATAGCATCTCTCTGAATAAAAATTTGATATTACATCCTAACATCTGCCTGAAAAGTGCATTGTTTGGAGAGTTTATTTTCAACTATATGATGAAGCATCTAAAGGAAGGACTAGTACAGACTCAAAACAGCAGCAAATGTTATGCCTAATAATGACTGTGAACCTCCAGAAAATTACTGACTTTTCCCATGTGGAGCTCATCACCAGTTTATCAACACTATTGAATAATCAACAGATTTGTCTATTGGAGGTATAACATGATTTTTGAGCAACATATCAGTCCTTAATAATGACACTTGTTTCATGTATATTGCAAATGCAATCTCAACCCTTTAACTCCCATGAGTGACCAAGACAGAATTCTCCTTACAATATCAATACAATATCAACCAAAGAAGTGATAAGAACAAAGAAAAATATAAATTTGGGAATAATTAGTTGATCCAATACTAAATTCTCTGAACTAACATTATAAGAATAGTAAGGTTCACAGTAAGGAGAGTACCAAATTTGATCTGGGAGTTAAAGGGTTGCTGACATTTTATACTAAACTGAAACTTCAATTGTAGCCCCTGGAAAGTTGCTCTGCAAAATGCATGAATCTCGACATTATCATTTTAAATATTTAGTCAGCATGTGTCTATTTTATCTAAATGCTGACTGGCACACACATAGTGGCAATATCTTAAATAAGATCATGTCCTGGCATGGGAAATCGGACTGCAAACTCTTCAACTTCCTGTTTCAATGCCTCAACTTTGCCCTTAAACTGATCGCCCAATAAAACCTCTTCAAATTTCTTTTGGTCTGGCCCACTGATCTTCTGCACTTCCAGTCCCAGTTTGATTCCACGGTCAATAAAGTCTGCTACTTGCTCAAAATCCTTTGTCTTCATGGTGCGGGTTGTGAGAGCTGGAGCTCCAATGCGCAGTCCACCTGGACGGAGAGCACTTTTGTCACCAGGGCAGGTGTTTTTGTTCACTGTGAGGAAAAACATAATAACAAAGTAATTGATACTCTCTAAGCCCTTTGACCCTGAAGAGTGACAGCCATCTTATTTCTCCTTACATCTTACATTATCACCCCTGAGTCACACATTAAACCCTTTAACTCCCACAAGTGACCAAGACAGAATTTCTCCTTACAATATCAATACAATATCAACCAGATAAGTGATGAGAATATAGAAAAATATCAATTTGGGGATTATTGGTTGATCCAATTCCAAATTCTCTAAACTAACATCAAATAAATTGTATAGCAGACAGTAAGGAGAATCACTGATGAAATCTTGGGAGTTAAAGGGTTTAGGTCATGTGAACAAAGGAAATGGTCATCAACTAGAGAGGCTCTTGACTGTAAGACAAATTCTTTTTAACAGCACCTTAAGAAATGTATGGATGACACTATGGAGAATATACATACTGATGTTACAGTGCTAAGGGTTAAAACATGATATCTTCATTGTACGGAATACACATACTATTTTTTTGAAATATCAATACTATTTTAAGACGTCAATGCTGTCATTAGATAGTAACAGAACTTTTTGAAACTCACCCGTTATTGCGACCTCTTCCAGAACCTTCTCAGCTAAGGCACCACCAATTGCCAGTGGACGCAGATCAAGTAAAACCAGATGGTTATCAGATCCCCCTGACACAAGTGTGTAGCCTCGACTCAATAAAACCTTGGCCAGTGCTTGGCAGTTGTCCAAAATCTGTTGGGCATATTCCTTGAATTCTGGTGTGTTGGCCTGCTTGAATGCTGTACAAAGTGCGGCAATTTGATTGTTGTGCGGACCACCCTGAAGACCAGGGAACAAGGCAAAGTCAATTTTGGGTCCATAGTCATATTTGATAGGGTCCCCATTTTTCTTGTACCCTTTAATTCCCTTGCGGTAAAATATGACACCAGAGCGTGGCCCTCGGAGTGACTTATGAGTTGTTGTTGTGACAATATCTGCATACTCAAATGGACCTGGGACTACATCACCAGCAACAAGACCACTGATGTGTGCCATGTCAGCCATGAGGTAAGCACCAACCTCATTGCAAACCTCCCTGAATTTAGCATAGTCCAGATGCCGCGGATATGCACTGATTCCAGCAACGATCAGCTTGGGACGGAACAGTCTCGCGGTCTGAGCAAGCATTTCATAATCTATCAAGCCTGTCACTGGGTTGGTCTTGTATGGCATTGATTCAAAGTAGATGGAAGTTGCAGATATCCTCTTCTTCTCTGTCATGAAGCCATGTGTCAGATGCCCTCCATCAGGTAGATCAAGGCCCATGATACGGTCATGAGGGTTTAGAAGCCCAGTGTAGACTGCAAAGTTTGCTGGGGAGCCAGAATATGCCTGCACATTCACACCCCATTTTTCTGGGTCAAGCCTAAATGAAAATAACATACCAGTAAATAGCATGAAACAATTTGTTTCTCTACAAAAGGCCATGTTTGTATTCAATATATACACACACACATATATATATATATATATATATATATATATATATAGATAGATATAGATATAGATATATATAGATGCCTAGTCAGTATTTTGCTCCTGTATCACATATAATAAATAGATTCCATATTGCTGTGCCTCTGTTCGATAGTGGTAACAGGTGACAGTAGAAGGTGGTAAAAAGAAACACAGGGTACAGATGAGCAAGCATTGTACATTGTACACAGCCATGTGTCACACATGTTCTTACCACATTTCAATGTTCTCTGTAATCTAATAATTTATTATTATCAACTGAGTGATAACATAATTTGGCCAATGTAAAGACTTTCAATGCTGACATTTCCAGCATTAGCCCTTCTTCATTTGCTCTGATGAAGCTTTGAGACTCTTAATGGTGACCAATTTACCTTATCAACTCAGTTGATAATACTAAATTGCTCTTTTATACTCTCCCACCAACACAGTACCCACAGTTTCTTTAGAAACTTACCACCTTACTCTTCTGTGATCTGTTTGCCTTATATAATGTAATACCAAAATGGTGACTATAGATCTATCCTTCATCATACGTGAGAACTGGCAAACTGCATTTAAAATTAAGCTTACCAAATAAAGATACCTAGAGCATGAATCTATGTCTCAAGGAAGAGACTGGATAAATTGTGACAAAATGTAGGTTGCACTGCTCAGGAAGGCTACAATCACCAGCTTTCACAGTCTTTAGATGCTTAACTCTTCACATTGTAGACATTGACTTTTATGTCACTGATATAGCAACTTAAAAGTGTTTTGTTAAACTTTTCTTGCAGAAGTAAACAAAATCAACAGCAAAAAATTTATTTTATCAATTGAATATCTTAAAAGAAATAATTAAAAAATTTGAAACAATATTTTATCACTTGGATAATAGATTAAAAAGTACAGACTAATTACAATCCCTTAACTTTAAAAACTTGTTTTAGGCTCACTAGTCAAGCTGAATTTTCAGATCAAAATAGTTAACTATTTGGAATTTGGCGAATTTGATGAATTGGCAAATTTAAGTGTAAAAGACCTGTTGAGTATCAAGTGAATAAATGTAGAAATGTAACCAATTACTGCAACCTGCTCCAGTTATGTTCAAATTTTCGTAATCAATAAAACCTTCGATCCGTCCCGACACTTTTACATCTTTCGAGTAGCTATAGTTCCATTTAGGCGAATTGCGTGACCTGTTCAATAAGAACAACCTCCATTGCTGAGATCGAAAGGATTGCATAACTTTACTCATACGGGTTCTTTCGCGTGTGATCATGCAAATTTACCGAATTTCTTCAGGTCGGGAAAAATTCTACATTTAGCCTTATCCTTCAATATATCATCAGTGAGGTAAATTTCGACTAGCTTAGATGAAACTAATAACCATTAAACACGTGACCAAGATTACACGTGTATCAATCATCTTACCGAAAAGCTTCGAGAGCTCGCTTCTTGCACAATGCCTCCATTTCATCCACAAACTGGTTTCCTCCGTAATATCTCTGTCCAACTTGCCCCTCAGAATACTTGTTGGTCATACATGAACCAAGAGCTTCCATAACAGCTGTACTGGTGAAATTTTCCGAGGCGATGAGCTCGAGGCCGCGAACTTGGCGTTCCTTCTCTTTTTTCAAAATTTCGTAAATATCAGGATCGTTCTCTTCAAGGGACTCACGAAGGAAGTGAAATCCATGACCATTGACACCGTTTACTGCCATGTTTTCAAAATATTAAATCTGCCGTAGAGAATTAAAACAAAGATGACAAATAACAAATAATTTTTTTTCCATTTGGCAAGACTTGAATTGGACAGAGTTTGCCGCGATTGCAAGGAAGAATTTAGAATTATTACTCCTTCAATCTATGAAATAGAACCTTACCTTAAGCAAAGGGTTATACTTCTGGTGATTAGATCGGAAAATTCCGTGAAATGCAGTAATGTTTCAGTGGTCTAAAATTTATGACGATCAGGCGAACGCGCCAAAAATTTACTTGGGAAATTCCATGTGGGTTTCACGTGAACATCTTTCGAGCCCAGACTCTTTGAGCATGTCACGCCAATCTTAAAATGCTCTTTCATAAAGATGAAGGAGAAAAAAACAAGCATATTGTAACGAGATTTAATCGCGAAAGGTGGAATATTTGGTACTAAAAACAATAAAAAAACGCCAATTTTTTACACATGACTTCAGAAAAGCTCTTAAAATTTTCCAGTTATAACCCGAAACTTAGAGGTCAGTGGTCGGCAAATTTTGCAACATCAACTTGTAACACAATCATTGGTCATTCTTTCCTGAGTATTTCTCAATCCACAATTCAGCTCACGCTGTGTCTTTCACCATGAATGTGCGCTACAAAATCCAAAAGGCCAAACATATATACTTAAATCCATTAAAAAGAACCTGTAAGAGCTGCTCGAGAGCCCTGAGTTGTTGCTGTTTTTTTTCCTACGAAAAGCTATGATCCTGGAAATGTCCCCGGCCTCGGTCATCAAACCCAGGAGTGGCGTTGTGTTACGGATATTCTCGCGAAAAAGAAAAAAAGGACTGCATGGGTTTTCATGCTTGTCGCGACTTTGCTTGCCGTTGAACGACATATGTATACTTAATATATTTGTTTCGGGAAGCCGGGTTGCTCAAATTCCAACAGTGGCGAACAAGAGAGCCGCTAAATCCCAAAACAAAATGGGGCGTTACCTTACAAACTTTATGTCTATCAATCGATCAAATCCTTTATTTTAAACGATAATTGTTAAAGCTGTTAGGCTTGTGGGTCGTTTATCTAAGGATCTAATGTGCTAATGGACTTATGAACGTTTACCTAAGATATACAGCCATCTTGAGAAAGGTGTTATGAGTAAATAAAATCTTCTGATCTGAAAGTGCATGTGGATGTAGATGTAGTGACTCTAGTAATCTCGGTTTCCGCTTGAGGTTCTCATAACAAGTAAAGCTGACTAATTCGCGATGTTCGCTTGTCAAGCAGTTCCAGAGTACCGTACCTTTGTGCGCTGGGGAGTCTTTCGTGTAGCTGGTGATGGAGCGTGAGATGCATAATAAATCTGGTGCTCGTAACGTATATCTAACCAGTCAGTGTAAAACGCAGACTGTAGACCAGGGATAAAGCGCAGACTGAGGGTAAAATGCAGACTGGACTGAGACTACAGACCAAGGTTAAAATACAGACTCGGTTCTAAAACAACCCGCTTCCCCGGAAAAAACTTCAAGAGTGAGCTGGGATCGAGGCCGCGTGGTCGTGAGAGGCTGGCAATAATCGTCATGGCGATTGATGTTTCGAACTTCACTTCCTCAGATGGTTTTGGCGCTGACACATTGTTTTAAAATAAAGACGATTAAAAACGTAAGGGTTTGAATATGCAGTTTACAGCCAGCTAAATACATTTCCCTTCAGTTAAGGACTAAACAGTTCTGCCGAGTAACATTAGGTAGCTCATTCAACATTTAACATGTAGCTCATGCATACTTTGTTTGGCCTTGAAAGTAGTAGCGAGAGACTTTCATCACACATCGGCAATGCCGATTATTTGGACAATAAAAACCTGTTTCTCGTACCTTTGTTTTACCCTGCGAAGTTAGGCGTGCAAATTCTTTAAATTTAACGCAAATTTGTGGGTGCGAGATAAGGGTCTAAATAAAAACCTGCAACAGTATCCCCAGGTGTTTGCCTTTCTTATTCCGCTTGGTGTTTCACTTCAGTACTAACTCGAGGTAAGTCTGCGGCTATCATGGTCAACTTCACCTATGTTGGGCTTCTTTTTGGCCGGCAAGGGATGCTTAAGAAATTTAGTTTTGCTGTGACGTGTTTTTATTCACTGGGAAAATGGCGGAGTCTTCTTTAAATTGAAACAAATTAAGAGCACGAATTTAAGAGATCCTCGCAGCTAAGAACACTACTGAACTAGTAGTTGAAGATAGGACCTAAAAAAAATTCAGGCCCGTACGGGATTTGAATCTATGGCCTCTGCGATACCGGTGCAGCGCTCTACCAACTGAGCTAACAACCCAACTGGGAGCAGATCAATATGTTGGGTCTAAATAAACCATTCAAGTGATGAATAATGATTTTAGATATATGAAATATCTAAAATCATAAATTAAGAGCATGTAGAAGTCTCAGGCTCCTATTAAGTTTAATCATCTAGAGAAACCAGAAATCTTATAGTTTCGCCATGTCTCTTAATTCGCAGATGATCATCTCACAGCTGGAGCTTGGGCTGCCTGCGAAGAGATTGGTACCAAAGAGGAACAATAATTATCTCCATGACAGCCGTTCCTTAGGACCCAAGCAGCTTCAACTATCTTCCACATTTCTTTTAAAAAGAGAGAGAGACGAACGTTGAAGCTGATTGAAGGACCCAAGATTCTCACTTTATGTGTAGTAATGAATTATATTCGCTTCTTCACAGAATCAAATACTCCTCTTGTCCTGTTGTCATCAAAGAAGCTCTGAAGGAAAATGACGCTCAGTCAGTGTAGCGCAGGGCGAAAGAGACGACGGGAAGGCAACTGCGAAAAATTATAGTGCCTTTGACATGACATGTTTTTTGCGTTTTCTGGTTGATAGCTGTATTTAAAATAAGATATAATCGACCTGAGTGCTTAGCGAGATCTCCGTGACCATTTTTTTTGTGCATTGAAAGTGCGATTTCGCGGCCAAAAAGTGTTCCATTTAAGCGCGCAGCCAAAACAATCATGTTACGTGGCTGTGACGTAGAAAACTGTAAAGATAAAGACACGTCGGAAACAATGGTGGGGAAAGGAAAAATCTTGGAGAAAGGACGAGCTCATTGCGTGGCCGGAGCACCAAATAATGTTGGCTACAAGAATAATACACCTATACCTGGTATTTCTATACACTAAGAACCTAGACCTATATTTCTATACACTACTACCTGACCTAGGTTTCCGAAAATCCATCCCATGAGCCATCAGTTCCCTCCTGCCCCTAAGAAACTAAGATTAGCCACTGTAGCAGTGTCATTGCGATTATAGCACTGCAACGAGATAAATAAAGAAACATTTTATTGAATTAGATGGTAGCGAATCCAAGTTAGTGAAAGTCGATGCATACAAAATATTCATTTATCACATAAACTGTGGTGTTATACAGGGATTTCCGGCCCTGAAAAAAGCCGTAACAACACATGTGAAAAACTACGATATTTTTCACGTGTTGATATCTAGCCAATCAGCTGCTGATACGTCACTCGACTTTGAGGCCACTCGGTCAGGCTGATGAAAGAACGGCAAAGCCTTCATGATTCTCAGCAAAAGGTAGTTTGTCGGAACTTTCTCAGATTGTGTCGGCTAGAACACTAAAAAATCCGTATCGCTGACAGACAGTGAGGTTCAAACTTTCCTAGAAGGGAGAAAACCAATATACAAAAAAACAAACCCAAAGTTACGTATTCAGCGGCTGTGGTGTTAGCATTTTTCGTGGCTGAGAATGAAAATCGACAACTGGAAGATTTGTTACTGGCCGATTTGGGCCGTTTACTTGAAAGAAAGGACAAAGTCAATAAATGAGAGTTTTGTATATTAAAAATTACGACCATTGTTGTTTTTGTAATCATGATTCAACGCATTTTTCCATCTTAAGAGTTAGCGCCAACGCACTCTACGATTGTTATTCGGGGATTGTCGATTCATTAATTTTTATTCATTAATGTCGTCGGCTTTTCTTGTCAGTAAAGGGCTATTGTGTTTATATTATAAACAAAATAATACATTTTTGCTTGTAGATATGGAATTTCTCTTTCTCACGAGAAGAGGAATTCCATATCTACAAGCGACCATGTATTATTTTGTTTATCATGTAAACACAATAGCCCTTTACTGGGAAGAAAAGCCGACTTCATTAATGAATGAAAATAAATGAATCGACAATCCTCGAATAACAATCGTAGAGTGCGTTGGCGCTGACTCTTGAGATGGGAAAATGCGTTGAATCATGATTACAAAAACAAAAATGGTCGTAATTGTAGTGAGAGTTTTCACAGTTTTCTACGTCATCGCCCGTCAATTCGTTACCAGTTCACGAGGCACTTTTACAACAAAATAAGAACACTTTAGGGCCCTAAAAAACCGAGTTTTAAGTTTTTCGTCGGAATTTTCCTTCTACTGGAATTGGTTTGTACATATGGTAGGCTAAATATTTCCGGAAAAAAAAGTGTCATAGGCACTTTAAGCATTCCTCTAACCTCTCCTCAAGCGCTTCCCTTTTAATAAAAAAGACTGGGAACGAGTAGCTACACTGGAAGGTACCATACCTTCCCTATGGGTGGTCATTTAACATGCAGACCCCTGTTAATTACCCGTTATAATGTCTTATAAGCTTTTGTAATACTACCTGTTCGACCTTTATCAAGACCTCTACAATAAACAATACTCACAGTAAACACTCATATCATGAGACACTTTTCCTGATGGTTAAGATTACGGACAACTTGATCCGATTAATTTCTCAAAGTTCTCCAGGGTGCTCCCTAGAGCTTAATATATAATTTCCAGTTGTTTACAACTTTATTGCATCCCTATAGATTCCATATCCAGGAATGATGACTACTTCTTTCCGAGCGTTGCTAAAGATGTGAAACTTAAGTAAAAAGTCATTGTTGGAGAGTAAAACGCTGTTTTGCATAGTGAGTCACTCAGTTACCATGACGACAGTGATATCTATGTAAACAATATTCTCTTAACACTAAGGGAAGATTTCATCTATAAGAAACAAGCTAATTGCTGTATTTTACTGGCAACCCTAAGTTTAATCTTAATCGCCTGTCATTACTTTATCACTGTGATTAAAAAAGATCGTAACAGCTTCGGCAAGGTTGCAAAAAGCAAATATGATTGAAAAAGGAGAGTGAAATTATGAATATGAACAACTAACGGGCCAAACCGGTCGATTTTTCCCTCGTTGCGTGTGAAGGTTCAAAAGGACAAATCATGACGGTCTCATGACAACTGTTACGACGAATTG